TCAAGGGATAATTTGTCACGGAAAATACTGATATCACACTCGTTCTCCATTAACGCTGGCGAATGCAGCACAGATGCCGAGCAGCTCCCATCGAATGAATTTGGTTTTTGCTACGACTCTTTGAGGAAATGTTATACCTAGGTTCAACAATGAAGAGAAATTGCGGGGGAATTTTACCCCTTCCCCACTGCTACATCCCGTAAAAGGGAAGAAGAAAAGGCATGCAGTGCTTTGATTCTTATTCCAACGAGCTTGAGTGGAAGATTCGGTCTTCCTTATGGCCGGTAAAGCATTGAGAACGGTTGCTTCAAGGAGACGTTGTTCTGTTCGGAGCGTCGTAGCAATACGAGCATAGTACTTCAAATTCGCGCGTGGGGGAAAGTTATTCTGAAGGTATGTGACTTCGAAACGGCAAGAGCACATAATGATTGTTGAGAACGCACGGGAAATGATTGTTGAGGACGCATTGTTGAGAATTCAGCCTCCAAATAAGTGGCGCACGCGGGGCGCCACTTATTCGGAGGTTGAATTATGAGATTTCTTAATGGAGAATACTTGCATCAAAGCTCATGAATTCTTTCAATAAATTAGAGTCACTCACGAATGCGGGCCAAGAGTTTTATTATTGGATGTTCTTGCCTCTGTCGAGTTAGTTAGAATGGACGAATCTTAGTCTTCTCTTTGCAAGGAGTCTAATATGCACCCTAGCCCATAATCTCACCACTCTCACATGCGTTGGCTGCTTCAATGGTATTTGAGGTTTTTGAGATCATATTGAGCACACTAACATGTGCAATGCGGCCAATAGCAAACTTTACCTCTGTTTCTAAGATCGTGAATGCAACATCCGCGTGCAAAGTATCAATACATTCAGCTCCGAACCAGCTCTAGAATCTCATGCGAATACCATGCACCATGTTTCGTCAACACGCGCAACAAATACTCGTCCCTCGTTAGTAAATCCAAGGGCGTTTTGACGCTTGTCTCAAAGACTGTTATGTGTACGAGTCCTGGAGGGTCCAGCGGGGTAGGAATTGCAATGCTTAACACAATGAGGGTTGAGTAGCTCTGGAAGATTAAGGTAAATTTTAATTTTGGGCTGAATGTTTTGAAAGTTTTATGTTGGGATTGGTTGTACTTCCGTCTTCCTTGAAGGAACGGTTTCTAGAAATCCGAAGGTTACTGTGGAGGCATGTTTATTGGTAGAGAGTGATGGAAGGGCTTGGAGAATTTTGGATTGATTGCCATCCGTTACTGAATACACGTTTCTATTAGTAGTATTTTCATGCCTTGACTTATTCTTTCGTTTTTCTTCTATCTTTCTTTTTTTGAATTGCTTTCGCTCTTAGGTTTCATAACTTGTGCTTTGACGATTGCATTTATGATTAGAAATGAACCGTTGAGCCGGATATTAAGGTTGTGTTACCTTTAGCTTTACTTAGGAGAGGATTTCTACTGTTAGTTAAGCTGTTATCCGATGCTAGACATGCGTCAGTCCCTAACCTTAAAAAAGGGTAATTGTCATTTAGGGAGGAGTCACGATAAACGAGGGTATAATTGGAAATTTGATTAGTTGGGAAGGAAGGTGGACCTCTTGAATGGGGCTGACGTTACGCCGATATTGGTAGCGAAGATTTGACCTCGGCGATCTAAGCATCACTTTCTTGGCGCGGTTGGCGGGGTACGCCCACCGACAATCTAATCACTCGCCGCAGGTCTATACGTGGCGAGTGATTAGATAGCAGAGAGAGCGTAGTGTTGAGAGGGCACAGCGATGAGTCGCATCAATGCGGCAACAGCCAAGGAAGGGTTCTTTGTCTTGGGTTCTGTGCCGTTTCTCATGGCTTTTCCTTCTTTCGTGTATTACTCACCATCCCTAAGTTAATTTGAAAGTGGTTGCTTTTTCATCGTGAATTCTTGCCTTCAATGTTTCTGGGCAAACTTACTGTATCACTATTTGTTGTGTCCTATTTTCCGGTTGTGTATGTCTTGGAGAGGGACATTCAAATTCAAGTACAAATGGTCGAGCGACACTAGGCTAGATCAAGAGGAGGTAAGAAGGCCAGTGAGGGCAAGATAGCTGTCAGGTTTCCCTGAGGGTCCTTTTCCTTATAAGCTGTTCACTACAAGGGAGGGTCGTCCAGGGTGTGCAAGCTTTTTCAAAATGGTTTCTTGCATGACATTGGGGCACATATGGGGACCCACAGAAGCATGGTTCATTTTTCCTGAACGGCTCTCTGAATACCAGAAAAGGGTCCTAGTTCGATTCCTCGTGGTGACAAGTTTTTGCATTTCGTGTTGACGTTTCCAAATTCGCGCAAAATGGAGTTAGCATGAATAATTAGTACCAAATTCATAATAGGAATCAGTGATCTTGGGAGTGCTTGATTAAAAGCTGGGGAAAAGGTGTGGGTTAGGGTCCCTTTTTGGTATTCAGAGGGATTCAGGGAAAAAATTAACTTGGCTCCTGATATTTCCATTTGACCTTTATTCAGCAGAAGACCGTGCTTGAAATCTTGGCACCCCTGGAAGACTTCATTGTTACTCCCCAGTTTCTGAGTGTGCTCGGAAATTCAATGTCAACCTACGAAATGAGCACTTATTGCCTGGAGTAATACGTTTATAGGTATCGTTGAGCGACGAGTAACTTGTGCCTTAGCTGTTGTTTTTGTGCGATTGTGGATGAGATTTTTTAGTTTTATTTATCAGTCGCTTAATGAAAGATCGTTTTCACATATCGATATTTGATAAATATGCTGCACTGTGGATGTCTTATTACGTTTAGTATAACTATTACCAGCGCATCGGCTGCTTTTTCGAGTGGTCTTACATGGAGAGTTGACAGACAAGTCCTCATTTTACTGAAGTGGTTCAAAATGTGAGAGAGTCTGAACTGGAAGGTGAGGCAGGACGTGATGTTGACGGACAGTAACAAGCAGGCTTGCCGTTTAGTCTTTCATGATTCGAAGATCAATTCTTCGCGCAGAAATATGTTATCCAAATTCAGGCCAGTTGGCGCTACCAGACTTTTGGAGGAATGAAAACTCTAAGATGGCCGATAAGGCGCGTGGCTTCATTGGATTGAACCGCTTCAACCTTTTGGATTGCAAGTTAGGCACTACCCCCCTCTCACACACGATCGGCAGGTTGGGTATTCTCCACCATAAGACTTATAGGCATTTCATGACGAGCTACTAGCTCATTTGATATCACTTAGTTGGCAGAGTAGTGTTTATAGTGATACCACCAGATTAGTCCCCCGTCAACCGCCGGGACCTTCCTTTCCTGCGCAAGCTTTCTATCCTCCGCTATGGTCCCTTCCTCCTGTGACACCAACACCTCCTGGAAGTGACGCGTATGCAACACAATGGTGTTTCAACAGTAGAAGGGACACAATCATGATATGACGGTAGATTTTTCGCTTCCCTTCCTCATCCTCCCTTCCTCTCTCCACTGCCCTCCAGCTGCCACTGCAGCACCATGTGGAATGAACGGAAGTGTGCTAAGCAGGTGTTTATATAGCCCTAAGAGTGTTATCACAACTATCCTGCTACAAAACATTGATATCTCAAATCCTGTAAGCTACCCGATTTGTTAGCGGTTTGTTTATCCCATGAGCTTCCTTCTCACTCACTTCATTTTGCGGACGGACACACATACATACACGCACACACACACTACACACACAAACCGACACACAACCGACACAAGTTAGCGCTTTATAAAATAGTAGGATAGTTGTAATAGCGACAATTGATAGATTGGATTGAACCAGCGTTTTATGGAGCGTCTTAGTCGCGTTGTGAAGTCTGCGTTGGAAATGTACGAGGCTAAGGCAGTACAAAAAGTGTGCACATCACAATTGGACGATTTTTTTTCAGGACTAGCGGCCTTATGGAGGCGAGTTCTGGGACGAAAAGAAGGTACTGTCCTTATCTTTTGATAATCACCTTATGTGAATCAGGTTTCAACTGATATTTTTTCAGAATTCATGAAAGTTCATGAAATTGTATGGTAGACACGTTTGAAATTAAAGGAATCCTTCGCGGAAAAATCATGATTCTATTTCAGCCATAAATCACTGGCTTGAGACTCATTATCCACGATAAGAATGAAAAGAACAGAAAAATTGCTTTGTTTTGGTAAAAAATTCGAAAAACCGAAAGGGCTGCTACGCGTTCAAAGTGCCCACGGACGTCTTTCACAAATGCTGGCGACGGGGATGCTTCCACTTGGTTCTTGGAGTGCCTTCACTAGAAACTCTTTCTGGCCTTCTGCTTTATTGCATTCACATCTTACACTTCTACTCCATCCTATTCTATCGATCGATTTGTCTCTACTCTCCGAAATCGCGCGCTTTAACCCGATTCTTTCATTGCGTCGCCTGATACGTAGCCGGCCAAAGGCCAACTTCTTTCCATGCCTCGCCTTTGGCTCCGCCCGAATTACCTTCGATGTCCATAGTGTAGTTTTTGTACGTTTGTTTCTCTTCGGAAACCGAATCTTCATGCGTGAAACTTTGTGTGCTATTTCCAGTGATCACAACTGACATTCATGTCAAGAAAGATGCAAGAATTTTCCGCGAAGGATTCCTTTAGGAAATCCCATCAGAATGGAGTTCACTGTGTGGCACACCCCAGAGCAGAAACTGACCGGCGACAACCGATTCATTTTGTGCAGAGGGAGGAGAGCAAGGATGGACTGTAAGCAGTGTGGTTGGCGTTTCCAAAATGAGACGGGAACCCACTTTTGAGCCTCCTTCATAGATCAGGCTTAGTGCTACGGCATATGTGAATGCGCCACACCAACTGCGTGGTTACCCCCTCCCCCTAATCCTTAGCACCCAGAGGTCAAATGCTCGATAATCATTCTTTCACCAGCTGTGAAACGTCTTTTGTAGGGACCGAATTTTGAACAACCCCTCTACGACCATGTTGGCACCAAGCTCAGGTGCACTCAACTGATGGTAAGGTGTGAAGCGTGGCATGACATCAAATTACCTTCATCGTGGCTGCAAAATTATCGAATTGTCCACAGTAGTGAGGCGCGGAGAATATGGTCACCATTTTTTTGGATGCGAAGAACTCGTAACCGTCCTGCACCACCTGAAATGATTACCAACACTGATGGGCTCGGCAATAAGGTCAATGTTAGGTTTTGACATATCAATGACGACGTCCTGTCGACCATAGGACCCCCTGGGGTGCTGCATCATTAACAAACAATTTCATGATTGAATTGGAGCTTGGAGGTGGAGATGGAAGGCCAACGCGCCAAAAGAGATAGGATGAGCATCGATGCACGCTTGCAGATATGTTATCAAATCATTCCCATTTTCATTGGTACATTAAGGAGGAACTTCCGATAGAATGGACGAAGAGGTCGAAGAAGGAAGTAATTTACTAGAGGGACCCACGGACCTCCTGAGGGTGCGAACTGACGCGCAATTCGCATGGAAAAATTTGACCTCGGCGACCTATCATGCCTCAAAGCTGGCGGGTCCGGCGATCTCCGCCCACCGATCATCTGATAGTTCAATACGTGGCGAGTGATTAGATAGCTGAGAGAGCGTAGTGTTGAAGAGGGCACAGCGATGAGAGTCGCATCAATGCAATCAACGGGCAAGGAAGGGGGTCCCATTTCTCGGGTTTTGATTTATTTATTTACAGGTCAATCGTAACAGTGAGTAAAAAAATAATAATTGGACCCGGGATGGCACAAGATTGATTGACTCAAAATTCAATTTAGTGTTTGTGGTGAGGAGAAAAAGGCAGCGCGGCATTGGGCGTTGTCTCAGGTGGTTCTTCCCGTTTTCGTGGACAATCACCATCCCTAAGTTAATCTGAAATGGGTTGTCTTTCTAGCGTGAATTCGTCCTTTAAATGCTGTGATTTCGTATGTCCATCAGGAACAAGAATCAGTAAGGAACCTCGTGAGTGCATCCGTATCAACTCTGCTCGGAGCTCTGACCTGCACGACCTGAAGATATGCATCTGACGTTCTTGGCGATAGGAAAGGATAGAGAGAGAGTAGAGGTTGCAGAAAAGAAGCTGGCGAAGTTGGTGGGAGTCAGTGGGGAGGAGAAGTGGAAAAGGGTGAGTCGTCTCTGAAAATACCCTGACCTTCCTGTGTCACTCACCTTCACCCATGATCTGGCATCCGCCCAAAGCAAGTCAATACCCATTGACGGATTTGGTGGGATCTTGTGGACGAGGTATGTTTCGAAGCTGATCGATAGCTGCGAGTTGAGGAGAGAGTCCGCCATGCATACATAAAATCCGTCCGGCAATCAGCCCGCACAACGGCATCCAGTTAAATGTATCCTGTTAAAACAGCATGTATATTTTGATGCACAAGAAATCGAGAAAACGGCCAACATGCGGATTCCAAAGGCAAATGCCGCGAAAGGGCTTTCTCTGTCGGAGATTGGAAACGGCATTATTTACATTACGCCCCCCCTCTCAAAAACTGAGCCGAGGTTCTATCGAAATTTTTATGCTTGAAAAGAAGTAAGAACTTAGTTTCCGGTTATTTCTACCCGCTAGAACCGCATGTATACATAATTCTAGCCGCGAGGGTGTCTGTGCACGCAGTCAATTTCAATGGGTTCCTTCTCTGTCGCCGACTAGCCCTTTCGGCCTATAACCTACTCACCTAATCGCTTATGGAACGTTCATAGTTGGCGATGGTACGTGCAAGAAGGCGATTATGCGATTGGAGCTTTGTCAATAATGAAAAATATACGTATAGATTAGGCGACTAGGTGAGAAGGCATTCAGGCGATCGCTCATTGGTGCAGCAGCAATCAATAATCTTCTTCTCCTTCTTTTTCTTCTCCCTAGCGTTAGTCCCAGGGTCGCGCTGTTTTTGTCAGCCGTCGCCACTTTGCTCTGTCCAGGGCATCTTCCATCGTGGCCGCGACCTCACCTAGGTCCTTCTTGATTACGTCTTTCCACCTTTTCTTCGGGGCTCCTCGCGGTCGCTTGCCTTGTACTTCGAAGTCCATCGCTGTTCTTATCGGATGGTCCTGTGGCCTCCTTAGCACATGCCCATACCATCGCAGACGCTGTTCTCCTTTAGTTGGACAGGGGCAGTCTGCATGACCGCTCTGACGTCCTCGTTTCTAACCTTGTCCAGCCGCGTCCAGCAGCCGCAGGCTCAGCATCCTCATCTCAGCGGAGTGAAGCTGCCTTTCGTGATTCTTGTTCAGGGGCCAGCACTCGCTGCCGTAGAGCATCGCAGGCCTTACCACTGTCCGGTACACCTTTCCTTTGAGCGCTCTGGAGCACCTTCGATCGCAGAGGATTCCAGTGGACTCCCTCCATTTCATCCATGCCGCGTTGACCCGAGCCTTCACCGCCTGATCCACACTACCGTTTAAGGCTGCCAGATCACTCCAAGGTATCGGAAGTCCTCCACCCTTTCGATGGTCTCACCATGGCCGTCCACGATCGGCTCTGCACCCTCTTCGGAGCTCAGGAACTTGGTCTTCTTGACATTCAGCCGTAGCCCACCTTCTGTCAGGACTTTCTGCCATTTCTGCACCTTGGCTTGAAGTTCCTCTCTACTATCAGCTATCAAGGCGACGTCGTCAGCATAGAGGATAGTCTTCAGTGGTCCCTCCATGAGCCCCTTCACCAGGCCATCTAGTGTTAGGAGGAAGAGGAACGGGCTCAGAGCTGACCCTTGGTGCACCCCGACCGTGATGTCCACCTCCTTCGTTAGGCCGTATGGGGTGCGTATAGCTGCCTTGGCTCCTTCGTACATATCCTCACCAGAGAGATGAGGTGTTCTGGCACGTTTCGTTCCCTAAGCGACCTCCATAGCACTGCTCGCGGTAGCCGGTCGAACGCCTTTTCCAGGTCGAGGAAGGCTAGGTAGCAAGGCCTGCACTTTTCGCGATACTTCTCCATCACTTGCCTAGCGATGAAGATGGCATCCGTTGTAGACCTTTCGGGCATGAACCCGAACTGTTCCTGGGAGATCTGGACAAGGTCCCGCAGTTTCGAGTCGAACCAACTTCATGGTATGCGCAGTCAGCTTGATGCCGCGGTAGTTGGAGCAGTCCATCGCGTCACCCTTCTGCTTGAAGATGGGGACGATAGTGCTTGTTCTCCAGGCATCCGGCATCCTTCCTTCGGCGGTCAACGTATTCAGGAAGCGGGTGAGCCACCTCACCCCGTGCTCTCCCAGGGCCTTCCAAGCCTCTATGGGTACTCCATCCGGACCAACTGCCTTTCCAACTTTTCATTTCCAAGTTTTTGCCCCACGGGGGAGTACCTCGTTTCTGTCCAGAGATGGAGTGGCGCCAGCTTGAGCTAGCTCGTGAGTGTTGCTCGTGGAAGAACTCTCGTCGAAGACCTTGAAGTACTCTTCCCACTATTCGATCTTGGGCTGGGTCTCTCAGTCGTGAGCGTTGTTGCTCTTCACGCTCTTCACCACCCTGATATCTTGAGTAGCCCGATGCCGGGCTTTGGCCAGTCTGAAGACGAACTTCTCTGCGTTTCTGCTTTCCAACTTCTCGTACAAGGCGTCCATCTCCGTGTTCTTCGCCTTGGCTACGGCGGCCTTAGCGAGCCTCTTGCAACTCTTGTAGGCAGCGAGGTCTTCGGGGCTCCGGGTCTTCTGCCAGCGCTTGTATGCTTCCTTCTTCTGCTTCACGACTCGCTGGACCTCCTCGTTCCAGAACCACGCTGCCTTGTCTCCTCTGAATCCACCTCGCGTCTCTCCCAGTACCTCCTTGGCGCATCGTAGGATGATCTCAGCTGCAGTGCCCCAAGCCTGCTGCACTGGTCCCTCAGGATCTGGGAGACCAACTTCCATTATCCTTCGCTTGAGGTCGCTCTTCTCTGCACGGTGCAACTTCCACCACCGGATTCTCCTCTCGGTTCTTACCTTTGTCTTCTTGGGGAGGTCTATGGCTATGTCTGCCAGGAGGGGCCTGTGCTGGGGAGCCAGATCTTCGCCGGGTAGAACTTTGATATCCTTCACAGTTTTGAGGGTTGATCTTCTTACCAGCACATGGTCGATTTCCGTCTGTCTCCCTCCGCTGCTGTAGGTTACCTTCTGAGTCTTCCTTTTCGCGAAGAACGTGCTGCAGATTGCCAGATCGTGGGCCGTAGCCAGGTCCAGGACCCTCTCTCCCTCGGCGTTCCTCACTCCTATTCCTCTACCTCCGTGCACCCTTTCCAGGCCTCTTCTTTCACTGCCTACGTGACCATTCAGGTCACCTGCTATGGTACTCAGGTAATCATCTTTCGGAACCGATCTTAT